CTACTGTTACTATGGAAACAATATTATGTTCAAGAATATTGCAAATTTTTTCTACCAAATACTTAATTTATACTTGGGAATGCTTAAAATTAATAGATGGAGTAATACAATTTATAAATTGAAATTTTTACGCAACTCGTTTCCTGTGCAGAATGCGGATCGGCAAACAGATGAACATAATCTCATGCTGGCCACGTGGATTGCCCTGAGAATATGGTGAAAACTAAAGGCTAATTTCCACTCCGGAAAATAGGCAGCGGATCGGAACAGCTTGATGACATTATCAGACTTGTTGCAAGGTTGTTCCAACAAGTCACGATAATATTACAATCTTTCGATAGAGGTATGGACTTTGCAGCCACTCTGCAAAAAGGCTTGCTCTATAATACCAATCAGAAAGCCACATAGACTGCGAGCGGTTCCTCTATACTCGCGGTCTACTTAACACAGGTATGGCCGTATGGAATAACATGTTTTCAACATGCCATGTTTTTGCAATATGCCAAGTTCAATGTCAGGCCTGGTTCAATGTTTTTGAAAGTTCGATTGACATTCGACGGTTTCAATTCGCTCAGCCAATCAGCTTGGAGTTGGTTGAACGTGATTGGCTGATCAGATTTATAAAACCTGCAAGTGCTCTTGATAAACATTTATTCCACTTCGTCACGCCAATAGGCAATGTTTTTAGGAGCGACCGTTCATCTTTGTTGCAAGTTACAGTTCACCGGTTGCAAGCGACGTTACTTTGTGTACAATTTTCAAGGTAAATATATGGGTAAATACTATGAATATATCAGTCAATCAAATACCCAGATAGATAGATAGCTTTCCTCCCCCAGAGGCTTCTTCTGTTGGCTATGATTACGATCAGTATTGCATGAGATTCACTACACTTTACATGGTGGATCTTCGAACACGAGCGGAGCCGCTGGGCGAAAGAGCGCGCAGCCTCTGCGAGGGAGAGAGGATAGATAGATAGCTTTATTTAAACACGCTAACACCTTATACAATTAAAGCTGATTTCCACAAGGGGCGTGTGAGGAAGAAAGTATACAGCAAATATGAAAAGTGTTTAAAACCTATTTACAAGATATAGTATACAAGTATTATATTAAGACCTACGCTTTTTAAAAAATGATTTTGGACACGAATTTCCGGAGAACATTATTATTTGTTGAAAAACAGAGTATCTAACTTGAATGAAACAGTAACTAAGGCTACGTTTACACAAATAACTTTCCGTATTTTTTAAGATTGGAAAATGTAATAATTCGTAACAAGCTTTTTTTCGCATTACAGAACTTTTTAACAATGATTCAAAAGACCAAACGAATTCTTTTATGAAATAAAAAATGGGGGTAACCTACCTTATTTTCAAGTTAAATAACTTTAAACCCAAAAATCGGCCAGATCGAAGCGTCATTGTTGCCATAGCAACGGCAACGGCAGTTGCAATTCCTTTTTTTCGAAAAAATCCAACTCTGTTAAGTTCAATGTTTCTCATTGGACTTTCTTTGTATTTTAATAAAAATTGGGTCGAAATCGGAGATCTTCCGTTTTCTAGTAAACTGTAGGGAGTCACCTTAATTAAGTATTAAGATATAAGATGTTATAGTATACGAGGTCTCTCTCCTCCGCAGAGGCTTTAGTTTTCTTAGGATGAGTATTACGATGAGATACATTTCACTACACTTTACATGGCGGATCTTGAAACACGAGCGTAGCCGCTGGGCGAAGGAGCGCAGGCGCAAAGGGAAAGGCGAAGGAAGGCGCGAAGCCTCTGCACGATTTGCATCGCAAAGTGGGACAAAGTGCAAACATCGAAACAAAAGGTGATTTTTAAGCTAAACAAGAAACGTCTTTTTGAAAATTAAATCATTATTTAATGCATGATTGATTGACCTCATTGACTAGTGCTTGCATGTTTGTGGATGGTCAAAAGTAA